CAGTGGTACTCAAACATGGATATTCACTATACCTGGAATTCACTGGAGAACTTGATATTTGAAGGTCAAAATACCTGCTATGTCTAAAAGACCTCATACGTTTTGATTTATGACTCATAGCAACTCCATTAGGATGGTAAAAATGTCTAATTAACTATTTTAGTGTCATAACAGCAACAGTGTGCTGTTGTGGTTGTAGTACTAGAAGTCTCCTGGTACTCTCCCATTGCTAGGAGTTAAACTATTTTAGAACAATGTGACTACTTACCTGGGGTTCCACAGGGCACTACTCCCTGACAATGAAGAACCAGATGCTTTATATCTGAGTTAAGCTCTGCAATACATGACCTAGCTTATTGACTGACAGTGATCAGCTGACTCTCTCAGCCAGTGAGCTAGCTTAGCAAAGGAGAGCTAATGGAGGCTCCTGCTTAGGAGCCTCTAAATGAACTGATGTGAGAAGAGATTTATAATACACTTATATAATACACTACTGCTCCATTTTTCTTTTTCTAGTCATGGTGATTCTGTTTTGTTTTGTGGATTTGCTCCATGTTTTTATAGAAAGGAGTATTACATGATATAACAGTATTTAATCCATGTGTTTTTTTCCTTTTTTTCCCCCTCTAGAAGTAGACATTGAAAGCATGGAGTTTACACCAGGGGAAATGGACAGTATCGGAAGTGCCAGTGATGTGGAAGACCACTACAGTTTGCAAAGTGGCTCCAGTGATGGGAGTTTTACACATTCCCTGAGACTCAATTCCAGGTTGTCATAGTGGTCAAAATACTGAACCAACTCAGGACCATCCAGCTGAAGGCACTTAAGAGAAAACAAATGAATACAAAAAAACTTAAAAAAAAAAAAAGAATACCAAGTCACAAATATGCCAACCTCCGCTCAGCTTGATTCTCAATTTAAAAAAATGAACTCCTGTCATTGTTTGTCCCCTCAAAGACACCAACTCGGGCTGCACTTTGACAATGAGGGGACAATATGAAATCAAAGTTTTAAAATTATTTACAGAAGAAGGTTAAAACGCAATGAAACCCATTTTGTTTTAAGCATATCATTCCATTATTAAGTATTACATGGAAACACAGGAAAGTGCAAGTCAGATATCTTTCATTATCCAACAACAGGTTAGTTTTGAAAATGAAGAAGAATTTATACGCCTGGCAATTTTCATAGTAAATAACCCTAATTTTTTTTTTTTTTTTTGTGAACAGATAAAGTGCTGAATTTGGGAACGTCTATATTTTTTAGCATTATGTTCTGGGGAGAGAAGGAGAGAAATATTGTAGGATTTTTTTTATATCTGAAGTTGATCTTCGGTAGGAGAGCTCAAAAAAGTCTGTACTGTACAAGGGTTTGGGATAAAGGCCTACTCTATATATGACTTCAAATGACGGCATGGTCTCCTCCTTTTGCACTGTACTTTTCACTTGTAATTGGCCAGAGATACATCGCTGTATAATGCTTTATTGGTTACTCCTGCTGAACAGCAGCTTCTACATTATGCTGAATAACATTACACACTTTCAAACTTCACTAAAAAGTTTCTTTGATGAAGGAACAAAGTATAACATATATTGGATGAAAACAAGCATTAAAAAATGTAATGATATTTAGGGATACCCTCAAGAGTTCTAAACCATTACATTCACAGAATGCAAAGGTTTACATTTATAATTCCTTTGCAGGAAAAGCATGTTGGGCTCCATACAATGCGAGACATTTATGTGATCACTTGTCTTGCCATCTTTCTGACAGGTTCAGAAATAATACAGGAGGCGAATTTAACCACATATGCATGACTTTAGCCCAGAAGCTGTATTTACTTTGTGTATGATGCTGGCATACTTTATTTTTTTATCGTATTGTGCCGCAGTTTTGGGAATCTGCATTCCCTAAGCACCAGCAGGTTAATATAATTACCCGGGAGCAGGGTATTCAAGCACAAATTTTATATTTCCATTGTCACACCTACAGTATGTTTTAAAATTGATATTGTGATCAATTGTTGTAAAAGTGATCCAGGGATCAGTTTCAAGGCAAATAAATACATAGAACCTACAGTAAATCTAATGGTAGTAATCATAACTGGCACTCCCATATTTCTGCAAAGGACAAATAAGTATTTTTATATCTGTAAATGTACCTTTACAGTTGCCTAGAAAATTGTTTAAATGTTATTTTATTAATACAGTGAAGGATACAAACATAAATAATAACATAAACATGTAACCACTCTTATATACAAGTGAACTGTTCAGCATACTACGCTGCTTGGATATATTAACTATCGATTAATTGACAAAACATTCTAGATTGACTCTCATGGGTAGAAGAACCTATGATAGATTTCATATAAGTATTGCTTCCTAAATCGTAAAGTGTGTATTGTCAGTCTGCATAATTATGTAATGTAGTTCATATGAGAGCGTTATATGTCTGTGCCTTGTAATATATATATTTTGTTTTTGACATTTTGTAGAAAACCCAAATTTTCTCAAACACTGTGTGGATTAGGGATAGACTTTGCAGTACCTTCTGGGAGGATATAGCTTGTTCAAGCCTGCTCTCTACTAACAAGTGGCAACCTCGGGTACTGTGGACTACAACCTTCTCTCTGAGCCTCGTCATACCTGGGAACTTACTGTGCTCTACCTGGAATTTGGGTACCTCCATATTAAACGCCACAATGATGTGTCTCTCTACCTACTTCCTTCATCACTCAGCCTTAGAATGTAACATTTCAGCCATACTGAAATGAGTTGCTCCAAACCCATTCCCCATTTTGTAAGAGGAACTTCAAACAAAGTAAATATGACAATTCCCAGGTATGAACAAAGTGGCGGTTCTAGACCACAGCAGCTGTTGGGTCTGCCTTAGATTCTCCTTGTCAACATGAATGCTCTGACTCTGCCATAGTGAACTAATAGCAGGGCCTGTTTTGGCAAAATCTCTTCTCACCTTCAACATAAGTAAGATGAGTCTGCCATTTTGCTTGTTTTTGGTTTTAGTCTTGTAACGCTACCACTGCATCTTATTGAAGGCATGGCTTCCAGCATATTTCATTGTGTTTCCTCGGCACACTAGAAAAATATACATTTTAACGTCTAGAATGAAAAACAAAAAAAGTAGGGAAAAAAAATTGATGCTGTGAAACGGCACTGTTTATTTTGTATACTTTAAATCTGTATCTATGACAGTTGTAGCAATACTATGAAGTTGTAGTTTAGTTTTTATGTATAACAGCCTCTTTTCTCTTGTGAAGTCTGTTAGAGCAAGGCTCTATGGTGAAATGGTCTGTCACCTTTACAGTGTGAATGTAGCATATATAAACCATGACCAATGCAATAGGTGCTATGGACAGAGAGCATTCGAGGTGCAACACACAAAACTGATAGAATGTTCGTGCTACTTGCTCTTCTTCGATCAATTTGCCCTAGAGATGCTCTTTGTACATAACCCCTGTTATACTAACAAAATGTTACTGAGCCCTCTTTGTGAAGTCACAACACAGCCCATTCTGCAAATTGTGATAACTGATTTGCATATGAGGGTCACAGGATATGTCACAAAGTGTATGGTTAGCACATGTAAACATTTTTCGTCTGCTTTCAATTCTGCTAGTTTATAAATAATGTTTTTTAATGGTCTTCATATCTATGTGAAACACTGTTAAGGAGACAGTTGTTTAAGGGGAATGCAATTACTTGCATTCAATCTGTTGCCAGAATTGCCTTTTGACACATTCTTAGCTTATTCTATTAAAAGGGGCCTGTGAGCGGGCTCTATAGCATAGAATGGTTAAAAGTATTTATTGAAACAAACGAAAATGAAAATAGAAGCTAAGGCACTTTTCTAATAAGTGGATTTAGCAGGTATGATCTATATTTCCTGTAAAAGATTTTGTATTATATTTTTCCTAAATGTTCTAATTTTATTGGGGGGCAGGCAGGGAAGGGTCATGCAGGGTATGGAATGGATCCAAACAAGAGTCTCAGGGACTCTCCTTTTTTTTTCTTTCCTTTCTTTTTTTTTTCTCATCATATTGTGCCTTGGTATCCATTTTCGTATGCCTCTCAAATTGTATTTTTGTATATTTCTGTCAGACCTTTTCCGACTGTGTATTTCTATTGGGCCGTAGTTTTACCTTTTCTTTTGCCAGTCGTAACATAATGTCCCACAAGAGAAATTCACATCACAGTTTCTCTTTTACTTGCTAGTTGTCCTGAAAAGGTTCTTTTCAGAGTACTGGTTGCCAAAAGTCACTAAGAGTCAAAGAATTGGAAAAAAATGGAGGGTTGGTCAAATTTGACAACTGGAGAACTTTTCCAGTTCTAGTAAAGGCATATTGGAGTGACCTGTTTTAGTTCAGAATCCACAATTCACTCTGTAACATAAGGGTTGTGTTATTGGTTGACATTACTGAGGTGTTGTTTCACTGCCAGACCCAATAAGTCAGATATGGGCAAACTGTGCCTGTATGGCGAACAGCTTGCATTCTCATAATGGATTGTGGATCACCTATGGTCACCTATTTCATTGTAGATGCTCTAATTTTCAGGTGCCTGGTATTTAATATTTTAAATATTCCAACTTAGTAAGGTGCCACATTTTGGGCTAGTCCATAGAACTCCCTTGTGTTTTTGTTGGTTAAAGTGTAACACGTCCAAATCCGCTACCAAATGGTATCTTCCCATACATCTGCTTTGTGATGATTAGAGGTTTGAAGTTGTAGCCCTGTATGTCATCGTTGTACAGTTTGATGAGCTCGACTATAAGCAACCACGCTGCCCATGGAAAAGCAGTGGAATAAAGTCCATTCTTAGAATTCATTAGCACTGCCACTTAAAAAATAAAACAAGTATGTGACTAGGATAAGAAGCAAAACTATAAAGCCCAAGAAAATAGCACAATTATGTTTTTGTAAAAAGAGAAGAAAAAAAACATTGTGTATGTATCTGCAAAAATGTAGTTAAAATGTATTCAGATAATTTGTTGAATGCTACACAATGCACAGTGTAGCTTGATCCTTGTTTAAAACAATGACACAGATTAACCTTTTCAACATTTCATATCTGGTATTTGTGTGAAATCTCAGAAACCCAGTGCTAAGTATGGAAAAAGTGACCATATTTATATGGCAGCTCAAGATCATTTGCACTTTCATGAGCTTTGACCTTGCCAACAGCAGAAGAAAAACCTACACCTTTACTTGTATATCGACATTAATATAGAATTGTGTATTTTTATTTTTTTTGTTTTTTCTTCTATACTAGTGTTTCAGTCACATGACCTTGTTTGTGATTCACCTCCAAGCTATCTAAAAGGGGTGTGAAGTCCCTACATTGGCAGCTGACCAATCTCATTTTTAGTGATTGTGCTAAAGGGATTGGTAATCTCCTTTTTTTTAATAAGGTCCTGGTGTTTATGTTAAAACATCTTGCTTATTATTATAAGTACCTCTTTAAAGGGGAATTGAGCAATATTTGATTGTGTCTAAGCAGAAATCACTAGTTCAGCTTTGGTGCTCAATGTTCATATTTGATAACTGGTGCAATTTGGCAGTGATTGGCAGTGATTGCTAAGCTTTACACTACTGATGTTCTCGATTTACATTTTCCGTAAAGGCTGGCTATGCATCATGGGGAATGTAGTCCACAAACATCCACCGTGCCAAGATTAGCCGTCACTAGACCGTATCGAGCGAGATAGACGGCTTTACTCATTATCCGTGTAACATGCAGAAACTTATCGTTTTATTCTGTTTAAAAACAGATCTTGTACAAAAATCATCTGAAAATGGTCTGAACATTCACTAGGAATTTCAATTTCTAAATAAATCAAATTATTGCACTATTGCAAGTGAAAATGGGTAAAAAATACACGTTTTAAGTTCTTCCAGGGAATGTAACTGCATATTCTGCATTTCATGCTTTACTAGAAAAAAAAGAATAGGTGAACTTATTACGGAGAAGCCTTTAAAAAATAAATAAATAAATAAACAATACGCAAAACATTCCATTCGTGATAGCACCATACTTACACTTCATACATCTACATTTCTAAAAAAGTTACAGAGATTTTTTTCTGCCCGTATATATGTATGGATCAAATTTGCTGACATAATCATTACAAATTAGCATAGACTTTGTGGGATCAATTAAGCAACTGTATCCAGGGGAAGGGCTGTAGTCCTGCCGATTGATATTGTTTTTCCACCAAGAAACAGTGTACTTTTTAACTTCGTACCAGCTCTCTGAGAAAATAGTTCTAAAACCCCCAATTCATAGTGTGCCTCTCAGTCACTAAAATGCTCAATAGCAGTGTTAGTCTGTGACAGCTATCAGTTAAAAAAAATAAGGTACTGTTAACTCTTAGTTATAGTTATATTTCAGCTGTAAAATTAGAACTTACTGTTTTTGTTACTGGTTTTTGCAAATTATATTTTACTGCAGCTTTGTGACACAAAATGTTTCTAATCCGTATTTTCATGTTTATTCCACCAAAGGTCATATAGGTAATAATCCTTTATGGGTTTTATGCATTTAACTAGGAAACGTGGTTTAACGAGGGAATTGCTAATTCAACGCAAAAATGTGGAATTGTAGTTTCTGTGCAATGTTTTGCAAAGGCGCCAAATCAGGTTTACGTAGGTCCCCGTCCACACCTTAGGAGCCATTATATAATTTAGGAAATGTCTATATTTAACCATAATAAATGACATCTAATAAAACAAAAAAAAATCACTACCATTTAGAGATAAGTGTTGCATACTTATCCTATTTAACGTGTCGTAATTTTAATTTAGTAACACAGAATAGAAAATCTGTAGTAGAGCGGATCATTAGACTTTTAGTACATTGATTTCTGCAGAGCATATGGGCTCCCACTGTATGCTGACATTTTCATAAGACTGTCTTGTGACAGGTTCAACCTCACTAGTAATAGCTACTGGTACATATCACCGAAACAGTGATCACTACTGCAAAGACGAAAATACAGAAACCTCTCCAGTTGTTGTCATATAACATATAGCAATAGTATTAAGTGTATGTTCCCCAACACGTTACTTGAATTGAGTGTACCCATCAAATAATAGGATTGCAATATTCACCTTGTGTCTTCTTGCCGTGGTATAGTCACTGCTCAGTTTTTAGTGTAGAAAACTAGCTCACGTGTCAAGTAGTGATGTCGCGAACCCGAAATTTTCGGTTCACGAACGGCGAACGCGAACTTCCGCAAATGTTCGCGAACCGGCGAACCGGGCGAACCGCCATAGACTTCAATGGGGAGGCGAATTTTAAAACACACAGGGACTCTTTCTGGCCACAATAGGGATGGAAAAGTTGTTTCAAGGGGACTAACACCTGACTGTGGCATGCCGTGGAGGGGATCCATGGCAAAAACTCCCATGGAAAAATACACAGTTGATGTACAGAGTCTGGTTTTAATCCATAAAGGGCAGAAATCACCCAACATTCTAAATCACAAATCAATATGATTGACACCCGACATATGACATATTGACACCTTGACATATACGATTGGACACTCTGCGTCCTCAGAGCCCCTGATGCACACGGACACAGAGCAATAGAGACTGTCCCCACATAGGGTCACCAGCAGATATGGATTGACACCTGTCCCAAGGATCCCTGATACACCGGACACAGAAAGCAGAATAGGGACTGTTCCTGCATAGGGTCACTTGGCAGATATGGATTGACACCCGTCCTAAGCCCCTGATACACACCGACACAGAGCAGAATAGGGACTGGTCCCCCTACATCGGGTCACTTGGCAGATATGGATTGACACCTTGTTACAAACTACTATTTGTAACGGGCCCTTTAAATGGCAAATTGCCCTGTTTCCCTGGGTTGTGGAGAAGCCTCTTTGCCAGCCTCCTCCCGCATGACTATGGCCCCTGGGAGATTGTGAAAATGTATGCACTTTTTATTTGGTGTGTATGGCCCTTTAAGACTGTCGGTGGGCATATTGGGGCTTATGGACTCTTTATGTGACTGGTGCTGGCCCTTTAAACACCTTTTTTGGGACATCAGAAAGATTGGGACACTGCCCCTTTAAGGCCGTGTCCCCAGACTTGTTGGGGACACGGCCCCTTTAAGACGGTGTCCCCTGTGTCCCCAGACCTGGTGCAAACCCTTTGTGCCTGCCTTGCTATTTCCCCACTTGGTTCAGTAAATGGGAAATTATTTCAGCTGCAGAGACTAAGTCCCATTCGGCGATGGGACTTAGTCTTTTTTTCAGCCTGAAATA